ATTCACTTTAAATTAAGTTGTATAAAATGCTCTATTACCTCTGGATCTGATGTTACTTTGAAGGCTTGGGGTTTTACCAAACAACTGACGACTAAACAGACAACTGCTATTAAGACATTTTGCATTAGATTTAATGAGTCATTTTGAATATACATGAGATTTTGATTGGTAAATTAAAATTAAAAGCAGTAAATTAGTAAGAGGTAGTGACTCACAGCATCAAATTTATAATAAAAAATGGCTACACCATTTTTATTTTTAATTTGAGTAGCACTGTCCTGTAGGCTACTTATAGCGTGCGTTGCTTTGGCCAGAACTGTCGTGTTAAACATTCTAAATCATGCTCAGCATCTTGAGGGCATGATTAGGGGTGGCTGTCACCAATGTTCCCTCTAATTTTTTTTCTTGCTGAGCAAACCTTTTCTCTATTGGGCGGACATTTCAGCCATCTGAGCAAAAACATTCTTTATACCAGACCTGTACAGCACGTACACACAAAAAAAAGTGTGTAACTTTTCACTTTAATGTGCTATTTATATTTGATTTGACCCTTGATGTAACTAAATTATGTACATTTTAGGTTACCTGAGAAAATATTTTTACAGTATAATACACTGCCGTTCAAAAGTTTGGGATCAGTAATTTTTTTAAAAGAAGTTTCTTAGGCTCATCAAGGCTGTATCTATTTGATAAAAATACTGAATATTATTTCACAAAATAATTTTGTGAAATATTATTGCAATTTAAAATAAAAGTTTTCTATTTTAATATACTTTAAAATTGTATTTATTCCTGTAAAGCAAAGCTGAATTTTCAATGTCATATGATCCTTCAGAAATTATTCTAATATGCTAATTTATAATCAATGTTGGAAACAGTTGTGCTGCTTAATATTTTTTGGGACCTGTGATATTTTTTTCATGATTCTTTGTTAAATAAAAAGTTAAAAAGAACGGTGTTTATTCAAAATATAAATTTTGTATTACAATATACACTATACTATTCAAAATTTTGGGGTCAGTAAATTTTTTTCTTTCTTTTTTTTTTAATTAATACTTTTATTCAGCAAGGATGTGTTAAATGGATAAAAAGTGATAGTAATGACTTTTACTGCTAAAAAAGACTTTTTAACTTTTTATTAGCCTAATCAAAGAATCAAAACAGCACAATAAAAAAAAATATTAAGCAGCACAACAGTTTCAACACTGATAATAAATCTGAATATTAGAATGATTTCTGAAGGATCATGTGACACTGAAGACAGGAGTAATGATGCTGAAAATTCTGCTTCGCTTCACCAGGAATCCATTATATTTTAATGTATATTAAAATAGGAAACCAATATTAGAAATTGCAATAGCCTAATAGTACACAAAATTACTGTTTTTTTTTTCA